GTGTTTACTTGTTATGCCTGTAATGTTGTTTAGGAGGTCATGGAGAGTAGTTTTTTTGGCCATTTTTCTATATTTAGGTATATTTTAAGGAAAAATAATTAGGGAAATAGTTGTGCATAGCTACATGTTGCTACTCCTGTAATAATGATTAACAAGTAAAGATACAAGTGCTGTGTTTAAAATTTTTTGATTAAAAATCAGTTAAAATGATCTTCCAATTTCTTTGAGAGGCAGACTAGTAAATGCTATTTCTTCCACACAAAGGTCAAGAGGTAAACATGGACACCTAAGTCAGCCATGTTATTTTGGATCATGAAGCAGAAAATCCTATAACAACTTTCTCCATCCCTGACAGTAAAAACACAACAGCAGCAAATTAAAGACGAGTTGCTGCTCATAGATGCTACCCAAAATCTGTTGCCTAGCAAACTGCTGGACTCTGCCTAATATTAGGCCTAGCCTGGATGCCAATCTTTTTTTCTCTTCCCAAACTGTGTTCATATGATGTGGAAAATTATGTAAAGGAGGTATTGTGTGTCAAACGTGGTTCCCAAACTCTGGTCTTCCTGATGTTTTTGGAACAGAATTCCTGACTGTTGGCCAAGCTAGCTGGGGCTTCTGGGAGTGGAAGTCCAAAACAGCTGGAAAACCAAATCAACCCTGATACTGGGGTCCCAAACACACTTGGAGTTTACCACAATAGCATTCCCTTACTTAAAACTGTCAGAGCAGTTCTATGCATGAAACATGGATCCATCTACAGTAATGTTTCTGACATTGCAGTAGACAGTAGAGGAAAGGCGCATGTCTAGGTATCACATATATGCATTAGAACACCTGTATCTGGCTTTTTCTTTATTCTCTGAAACTGTCCTGTTTAATTCATAGTAGGCTGTGGTATAGTAGCAGACAGTAAAGCAGTTGTATACCAGAACTGAAATCTTCTCTTGCCAAAATCTGTCTTAGTGAGCTTTGTTACAGAACTGAAATATTCTCTTGCCAAGATCTGTCTTAGTGAGCTTTGTTACAGAGCTTTGGGGTTGGGGAAGCATCACTGTCAAGAATGAAAATAGTAATACACCAGACAGAATTTCCCTTATTGGCACAATGAATGGAATCTATGACAGTATCAGAGGTAGTTATTTCCCATGTGTTAAGGGCAAATTTGAGCCATCTGTAATGTACATTTGATCTGTATAATCTATACTCTGAACATCTGGAAGTTGCTGCTGGTGCAATGCTACCACTACAGTCTGCTGCTAACAATCAGAAAAGGAAGGAATGCTACTTGCTGTATCTACTACACAAGTGGATGTGGGCAGTCATTCTGAAAATCCTGTGTGTGTGTGTGTGTGTGTGTGTGTGTGTGTGTGTGTGTGTGTGTGTGTTAACTGTCTTCAAATCAGCCTCAACTTATGGCGACATTTCCATAACACCCTGTGTCCTCAATAGCCCTGTTGAGGTCTTGCAGACTCAGGGCCATGGCTTGCTTGTTTGAGTTTATCCACTTGGAATGTGGTCTTCCTCTTTTCCTGCTGCTTTCCACCTTACAAAGCATTATTGTCTTTTCTAATTATTCAAGCCTTCTCGTGATGTTGCCAAAGTACGACAGCCTCAATTTTGTCATCTTGGCTTCTAGGGAGAGTCCAGGCTTAATTTGCTCTAGGAACCATTTATTGGGTTTTTTTGGCCATCCATAGTATCCTCAACAGTCTTCTCCAGCAACATATCTCAAATGAGCTGATTTTCTTCCTATCAGCTTTCTACATCATACAGCTCTTACATCCATACATATTGATGGGAAATACAATGACATGGCAAAGGATTCAGACAAGGCTGTATCCTTTCAGCCTATCAGTTCCACTTGTATGCAGAACATATTATAAGAAAAGCAGGCTTGAACATAGAAGAAGGAGGAGTGAAAATAGGCGGAAGGAATATCAACAATATGCAGATGACACCATAGTACTAGCAGAAAACCTCACAGACCTGGTACACCTACTAAGGAAGATTAAAGAAGAAAGTGCAAAGGCAGGCTTAATACTGAACATAAAGAAAACAAAAATAATGACTACCAAGGACCTTCACAAGTTCAAGCTAGACAATGAAGAAATAGAAATAGGGAAAAAAAATCCCATACCTGGGATCAAACATTGATAGAAATGCAGTCAGGAAATCAGAAGAAGATTAAGAATGGGGAGGGTGGCTATGAAAGAACTAGAAAAAATTCTAAAACGCAAAGATATACAACTCAGCAGAAATGTTAGAATCATGCAAGCCATTGTATTCCCTATTACCATGTATGGATGTGAGAACTGGACAGTTAAGATAATTGGAAGTAAATCAATTCATTTGAGATATAGTGCTGGAGAAGAATTCTGAGGATCCATGGACAGCCAAAAGGACAAAGAAATGGGCTCTAGATCCCTGGAAGCCAAGATGACCAAACTGAGGCTGTTGTACTTCAGACACATCATGAGAAGGAAGAACTCATTGGAAAAGACAATAATGCCAGGAAAGGTGGAGGGAAGTAAGAGGAGAGGAAGGCCATATGCCAGATG